CCCTGTCATCCTTGGAGAGCTCTTTGGTCTTGGCCATGGTGGAGAGTTTGGAAACTGATTGATTGATTGCGTCTGTGGACAGGTGTCTTTTATACAGGTAAAATACTGAGATTAGGAGCACTCCCTTTAAGAGTGTGCTCCTAATCTCAGCTCGTTACCTGTATAAAAGACACCTGGGAGCCAGAAATCTTTCTGATTGAGAAGGGGTCAAATACTTATTTCCCTCATTAAAATGCAAATCAATTAATAACTTTTTTGACATGCATTTTTCTGGATTTTGTTGTTGTTATTCTGTCTCTCACTGTTCAAATAAACCTATCATTAAAATTATGGACTGATAATTGAATTGTCAGTGGGCAAACGTACAAAATCAGCAGGGGATCAAATACTTTTTTCCCTCACTGTACGTTAAACCTTTTGGCAGCTATCTCGCTCCATAGAGAGGCGGCTGGCATTGGCGTTTCTGTACAAATAGGGTGAGTCAACATGTTCTTCTACTTGCACGAATGTGCACGAACTCACACACACCACACAGAAATCAGAACCATGGACAGCCACATTATATTTACTGTAGCTTACGTTGATTGGACTCAATCGTTTTTGGTATCTTTTAGTTGTCACTGAAATATAAGCAGAAGTGATTTGATGATGTTGAAATGTTAAAGTTGAAATGGTGCTGGAATAGTGGAGGCAGCTTTTGTTTTCTTTGCGACTTGCGGTAACTCTCTGTGGTTCTAAATCAATAGTTGTTTAGAGGTCCGAAAATGTCGGAAACATTAACTTGCTTGACTATGCTGTAGGTCATGTAACTGTCTGTTACTGTACAGTCGTGGTCAAAAGTTGAGAATGACACAAATACTAATTTTCACAAAGTCTGCTGCCTCAGTTTTGATGTTGGCAATTTGCATATACTCCAGAATGTCATGAAGAGTGATCAGATGAATTGAAATTAATTGCAAAGTCCCTCTTTGCCATGAAAATGAACTTAATCCCAAAAAAACATTTCCACTTCATTTTAGCCCTGCCACAAAAGGACCAGCTGCCATCATGTCAGTGATTCTCTTGTTAACACAGGTGAGAGTGTTGACGAGGACAAGGCTGGAGATCACTATGTCATGCTGATTGAGTAGGAATAACAGACTGGAAGCTTTAAAAGGAGGGTGGTGCTTGAAATCATTGTTCTTCCTCTGTTAACCATGGTTACCTGCAAAGAAAAACGTGCCGTCATCATTGCTTTGCAAAAAAAGGGCTTCACAGGCAAGGATATTGCTGCTAGTAAGATTGCACCTAAAACAAAAATGTATCGGATCATCAAGAACTTCAAGGAGAGAGGTTCAATTGTTGTGAAGAAGGTGTCAGGGCGCCCAAGAAAGTCCAGCAAGCGCCAGGACCGTCTCCTAAAGTTGATTCAGCTGCGGGATCGGGGCACCACCAGTGCAGAGCTTGCTCAGGAATGGCAGCAGGCAGGTGTAAGTGCATCTGCACGCACAGTGAGGCGAATACTTTTGGAGGATGGCCTGGTGTCAAGAAGGGCAGCAAAGAAGCCACTTCTCTCCTTGAAAAACATCAGGGACAGACTGATATTCTGCAAAAAGTACAGGGATTGGACTGCTGAGGACTGGTGTAAAGTCATTTTCTCTGATGAATCCCCTTTCCGATTTTTTGGGGCATCCGGAAAACACCTTGTCTGGAGAAGAAAAGGTGAGCGCTACCATCAGTCCTGTGTCATGCCAACAGTAAAGCATCCTGAGACCATTCATGTGTGGGGTTGCTTCTCAGCCAAGGGAGTGGGCTCACTCACAATTTTGCCTAAGAACATGAATAAAGAATGGTACCAACACATCCTCCGAGAGCAACTTCTCCCAACCATCCAAGAACAGTTTGGTGACGACCAATGCCTTTTCCAGCATGATGGAGCATCTTGCCATAAGGCAAAGGTGATAACTAAGTGGCTCGGGGAACAAAACATCGAAATGTTGGATTAATGGCCAGGAAACTCCCCAGACCTTAATCCCATTGAGAACTTGTGATCGATCCTCAAGAGGCGGGTGGACAAACAAAAACCCACAAATTCTGACAAACTCCAAGCATTGATTATGCAAGAATGGGCTGCCATCAGTCAGGATGTGGCCCAGAAGTTAATTGTCAGCATGCCAGGGCGGATTGCAGAGGTCTTGAAAAAGATGGGTCAACACTGCAAATATTGACTCTTTGCATAACCTTAATGTAATTGTCAATAAAAGCCTTTGACACTTATGGAATGCTTGTAATTATACGTCAGTATACCATAGTAACATCTGACAAAGGCTTCCCTTGGCTTCCCCAGTGATTTTACCCAAGCACCACTACTGTTATATTTCAAGATTAAAGTAGGGGATTTGGTTAACTGCATGTCTCCTTGGGTCCCTGTTGCTGTGCGCACCACCGTTCAGATACAGTTGAAGTCGGACGTTTACATACACTTTAGCCAAATACATTTAAACTCAGTTTTTCACAATTCCTGACATTTAATCTTAGTAAAAATTCCTCCCTGTTTTAGGTCAGTTAGGATCACCACTTTATTTTAAGAATGTGAAATGTCAGAATAATAGTAGAGAGAATGATTTATTTCAGCTTTTATTTCTTTCATCACATTCCCAGTGGGTCAGAAGTTTACATACACTCAATTAGTATTTGGTAGCATTGCTTTTAAATTGTTGGGTCAATCGTTTCGGGTAGCCTTCCACAAGCTTCCCACAATAAGTTGGGTGAAATTTGGCCAATTCCTCCTGACAGAGCTGGTGTAACTGAGTCAGGTTTGTAGGCCTCCTTGCTCGCACACGCTTTTTCAGTTCTGCCCACAAATGTTCTATAGGATTGAGGTCAGGGCTTTGTGATGGCCACTCCAATACCTTGCCTTTGTTGTCCTTAAGCCATTTTGCCACAACTTTGGAAGTATGCTTGGGGTCATTATCCATCTGGAAGACCCATTTGTGACCAAGCTTTAACTTCCTGACTGATGTCTTGAGATGTTGCTTCAATATATCCATATAATTTTTCTTCCTCATGATGCCATATATTTTGTGAAGTGCACCAGTCCCTCCTGCAGCAAAGCACCCCCACAGCATGATGCTGCCACCCCCTGTGCTTCACGGTTGGGATGGTGTTCTTCGGCTTGCAAGCAGCCATCTTTTTCCTCCACGATGGTCGTTATGGCCAAACAGTTCTATTTTTGTTTCATCAGACCAGAGGTAATTTCTCCAAAAAGTACGATCTTTGTCCCCATGTGCAGTTGCAAACCGTAGTCTGGCTTTTTTATGTCGGTTTTGGAGCAGTGGCTTCTACCTTGCTGAGCGGCCTTTCAGGTTATGTCGATATAGGACTTGTTTTACTGTGGATATAGATACTTTTGTACCCATTTCCTCCAATATCTTCAGAAGGTCCTTTGCTGTTGTTCTGGGATTGATTTGCACTTTTCGTACCAAAGTACGTTCATCTCTAGAAGACAGATTGCGTCTCCTTCCTGAGCGGTATGACGGCTGCGTGGTCCCATCGTGTTTATACTTGCGTACTATTGTTTGTACAGATGAACGTGGCACCTTCAGGCGTTTGGAAATTGCTCCCAAGGATGAACCAGACTTGTGGAGGTCTACAATTTTTTCTGAGGTCTTGGCTGATTTATTTTGATTTTCCCATGATGTCAAGCAAAGAGGCACTGAGTTTGAAGGTAGGCCTTGAAATGCATCCACAGGTACACCTCCAATTGACTCAAATTATGTCAATGATCCTATCAGAAGCTTCTAAAGCCATGACATCATTTTCTGGAATTTTCCAAGCTGTTTAAATGCACAGTTAACTTAGTGTATGTAAACTTCCGACCCACTGGAATTGTGATACAGTGAATTATAAGTGAAATAATCTGTCTGTAAACAATTGTTGGAAAAATTATGCACAAAGTAGATGTCCTAACCGACTTGCCAAAACGATGACTCCAACCTAAGTGTATGTAAACTTCCGACTTCAACTTTGTGTTTCGTGGTGTGTTACCGCTCCATTTAAACTGTGCCCCTTTGAGGGGCTGGTAGTTTGTCACATCACACCTCCTACCTAGATCATTTTCACTGAGTTTTAAATGTGGCCTATAAAATACACTTCTCTACTAATCATATGTACTGTTTTCTGACCATTATCAATTCAACATGAGAACAATTACCTTGCTCTGTGGGACAGTAGAAAAGAATGCCATGGAAAGATCTCCTCTTTAACTATCTCAAGTGGCTAGTCTGCCCTCTAGAGTTATTCATGAAGACTGACGCAAAACAGATTCCAAGGCAAATTATAGTGACCAATTCAAAACCACTCATGATGAGCAGTGGAGTATAGTGACATCTATTGACCACCACAGTGGTGTAAAGTACTTAATTAAAAATACTTTAAAGTACTACTTAAGTATTTGGGGGGGGGGGTATCTGTACTTTACAATGTATTATTTTTGACAACTTTTACTTCACTACATTCCTTAAGAAAATATGTACTTTTTACGCCAATACATTTTCCCTGAGACCCAAAAGTACTTGTTACATTTCGACTGCTCAGGCAGGACAGCAATATGGTCCAATTCACGCACCTATCAATATACGTGTTGTCATCCCTACTGCCGCTGATCTGGCGGACTCACTAAAAATAAATACTGCATTTGTAAATGGTGTTAGTGTGCCCCTGCCTGTCCGTAAAAAAAATAAAAAATTGTGCTCTTTGGTTTGCTTAATAAGGAATTTGATGTATAGCATTTACTTTTACTCAAGTATGACAATTGAGTACTTTTTCAACCACTATACTTAAGTACATTTAAAACCAGATACTTTTAGACTTTTAGTCTAGTAGTATTTTACTTGGTGACTTTCACTTTTACTTGAGTCATTTTCTATTAAAAGTATATTAACTTTTACTCAAGTATGACAATTTAGTACATTTTTCACCACTGGACCCCCCCCCCCCCAATTAAAATGAAACGCAACAGAGAGTGGGAACTGATTTTTAATACCTCACATTCCAAACACAGCCTATGATCATACATAAAAAAAACACTAAGATCCAGGACAAAAATAAGAATGAATCCACATGTTTTCCGACCTTCACAAAACAAATTGACCAGAAATGTCAAACCTCAGTAATTGAAGAGTAGTACGTGCCACTCTCCTCCTTCGACAACAGTGTGGTCAGTCTGTCTGTCTCTTATTTGTGTGTTGAAGTACTGTTGTAGTATTTAGTGTCTGTAGTACTGGGGTTAGGGAGAGATGGTACATGACATTCTCTCGTTTTCTCCTCGTCCCATTTTGGTTTCTGCTCATCCTTCCGCTCTCGGCCAAACTCGATCACCAAAGGTTTCCCTAGCAACCGGTAACCGTTCACCAACTCCAGGGCTCTCTGGGACGTTTCTGTGTCTAGAAAATATGTTATAACACTATAATGTTAGTGATGGGGAAAATAATAAATCAATCAATACAGTTACATATTGCAATATTATTTTTGGACGATATAATATATACACTGTATATAGTGCATTCTTAATACTTTCCGACCCCTTCCCTTTTTCCATATTTTGTTACGTTACAGCCTTATTCTAAAATTGATTAAATTGTTTTTTCCCCCTCATCAATCTACACACAATACCCCATAATGACAAAGCAAAAACAGGTTTTTAGGAATGTTTACATTTGCATAAGTATTCTGACCCTTTCCTCAGTACTTTGTTGAAGCACCTTTGGCAGGGATTACAGCATCGACTTTTCTTGGGTATGACGCTACAAGCTTGGCACAGCTGTGTTTGGGGAGTTTCTCCCATTCTTCTCTGCAGATCCTCTCAAGCTCTGTCAGGTTAGATGGGGACCGTTTCTGCACAGCTATTTACAGGTCTCTCCAGAGAGGTTTGATCAGGTTCAAGTCCGGGCTCTGGCTGGGCCACTCAAGGACATTCAGAGACTTGTCCCGAAGCCACTCCTGCGTTGTCTTGGCTGGATCTCTTGGTACTTTACTCCATTCATCTTTGCCTTGATACTGACTAGTCTCCCAGTTCCTGCCGCTGAAAAACATCCCCACAGCATGATGCTGCCACCACTATGCTTCACGTAGGAATGGTGCCAGGTTTCCTCCAGACGTGACGCTTGGCATTCAGGACAAAGACTTCAATCTTGGTTTCATCAGACCAGATAATCTTGTTTCTCATGGTCTGAGAGACTTTAGGTGCCTTTTGGCAAACTCCAAGCGGGCTGTCATGTGCCTTTTACTGAGGAGTGGCTTCCGTCTGGCAACTCTACCATAAAGGCCTGATTGGTGGAGTGCTGCAGAGATGGTTGTCCTTCTGGAAGGTTCACCTGTCTTCACAGAGGAACTCTGGAGCTCTGTCAGAGTGTACATTGGGTTCTTGGTCACCTCCCTGACCGAGGCCCTTCTCCCCCGATTGCTCAGTTTGGCCGGGCGGCCAGCTCTAGGAAGCTCCAAACTTCTTCCATTTAAAAATGATGGAGGCCACTGTGTTCTTGGGGAACTTCAATGCTGCAGACATTTTTTGGTAACCTTCCCCAGATCTGTGCCTCGACACAATCCTAACTTGGAGCTTGGTTTTTGCTCTGACATGCACTGTCAACTGTGGGACCTTATATAGACAGGTGTATGCCTTGCCAAATCATGTCCAATCAATTGTATTTACCACAGCTGAACTCCAATCAAGTTGTAGAAACATCTCAAGGATGATCAATGGAAACAGGATGCACCGGAGCTCAATTTTGAGTCTCATAGCTTAAGTAAATAAGGTATCTGTTTTTTATTTGTAATAAATGTGCCCAATAAATTATTACCTGTTTTCACTTTGTCATTATGGGTAGATTAATGAGGGAAAAACATATTTTATCCATTTTAGAGTAAGGCTGTAACGTAACAAAATGTGGAAAAATTCAAGGGGTCTGAATACTTTCTGAATGCATTGTACTATATGATATTACATGTTACACAATTATTACATCACGTCTTATGTGCTATGTATACACATGGAAAGCACATTTGAATTGGTGTGTTGCTTAGAGATATAGAGGGAGGGAGTGTGTGTATGAGCTCAGTTAGTCAGTCACCTTAGATACAGAGAAGGAGTGTATGCATGCGTGTAATGTGAGCCTACCAGGGAGAACTTGTTATGTGTGAGAGTAAACTCAGTCTGTCATCTGATAAAGTGTGTGTGCACACGTGTTAGAGTTACCTGATAGTGTGATGAAGGCGTGTCCCTTCAGTCTGCCAGTGAGTAGGCGGTAGAGTACAGGCTGGGTGATGTCACAATCGAACCTGGAGAATAGCGCAACCAGCTGGGCCACAGAGGCATGAGCACTCAGGTTCTTCACACACAGTACCTACGGACAACCACAGGGACCAGACAACAGCATGGGGGTGTGGCAGATCTCAAAGCCCTGAGACTGAACTCAGACAGTTTATTCATTTTTCTCATTCCATACTCATTCTTAGTCTGTAATATGAGTAGTTTATATATCAAGACACGTAACCGAGTCTGGTTAATGTCATTAGAACAAGTGAGTGATACTCTTATCTCTCAGGGAAACATGGTTACTAAAACATCATTAGTTTGATGTTATGTTGAGGGAGGTTCTACCTTTGATGGTTCCCCTGGCTGGTAGTTGTGGAACCGTGGTATGCTCCGGATCCCTTCCTCTGTTTCGCGGTTCTGCTGAATCTCTTCCTCTGGAACCTCCTCTACCTCGCCCCGGACCATCACCGGAAACCCAGGCCCCGTCTTGGCCGCACCACACAGGCTACCAATTGGCTGGCTCATGTTTATCCTCTTTGGAGCTGACAATCGCTTCTGTCCAGGTCTGTCCTGATCTTGTGATTGACCAGAAGTGTCCATTGTAGCCGATTGGTCAGAGTCCTTGATCCCACCTCTCAATGGATCAGATTTACAGTCAGGCTGGACTTGTGATTGGTCAGTGATTTTCCATGAGCTCTGTGATAGGTCAAAGTCAGTTTGTGGTTGAGGCTGAGGTAGAGATGAGTGTCCTGTGGTTTTCAGCTCAGTGTCCTCTGATACAGACATGTGTTTTCGCCCATCACTTAAGACATCTCTGTACAGGGAATCCAGGGGGTCTGAGGAGGATGCCCCCTGCTGGTCAGCTTGGGTATCTTCCTCTAAGGGAAAGACCAAAATCATGAGCACATAAGTGTTATTACTCCATGACAGCTTGTAGCCTACTTTTTTTGTCATTTTTTTTTGTTGTACATATTGCCCATTTAGCAGACACTCTTATCCAAAGAAGGGCTCAAGGGCACATCAATAGATTTTTCACCTAGTCGGCTCAGGGATTTCGGTTACTGGCCAAGCACTCTTAAGCGCTAGGCTACCTGCCGCCCTACTTACTTACTTACTTACTGACTAGGTAGTTACAGGATAATTGCTTGCTGTCAGATTTCAATATTGCCAATGACAAACAGGAAGATGGACAGCTGAATTCCTTTCTTTCATTTTATATTTTCAAAACATGACAGTCACCAACAACCAGAGATGGGACCAAGTCACTATTATTCGAGTCACAAGCAAGTCTCAAGGTCCAAGTCTCAAGTCGAGTCCAAAGTAGAACGGGACAAGTCGAGTCCAAGTTGCGCATTCTAAGAGCAAGTCAAGTTGAGTCACACGTTTTTTCAAGGCAAGTCTCAAGTCAAGGGGTTAAAAAAATCTATACATGCAATGACTTGTTCAACTACAAATCTTTGTCTATTTATTGTCTACCAGACAGCCCTTTTTTCATAATTTTGTCTACAGAAACATTTTAATGTAAAATAGGGACCTTATAGCAGTCGTAAGGGCGTGAAATCAGCAGAAGGCAGGTTGACGCGGTCAGAGTGTAGATTTATTTACAGGTCTTGATGATCCAATGGTGAAAGCACCATATCACAAAAAATATACAAGTACATTGACTAAATATACACGGGCAAAAGCTCAAAAGAAATTGCCTCTGTAACAGGCTTAACCTGTCCTATCGGAACGGACACAGGTAGAAGGCAAGACTACACAGCCTCCCCTTGAGAAACCAAATCAAATCTGTCCAACTGTACGAAAGGCTGTGGAGAAATAGCAGTTGTCCTGGTAGAATAGATTGAAGTTAATCATATCAGAGCTGTAGCTCCGCCCACCGGTGGAGGAGCAGAGCATGCTGGGCGATCTCCAGCTAAGGGAAGAAGAAGCTAAAGAGAAGTCACGTCACAGAGTTCCAGCCATTCTGTGTTTTCCCACCAGTTAGTGTTTTGTGTTAGCCACCAAGGGCAGTGTGCGTCCTTGTTGATATGTACACAGAACAAAAATATAAATGCAATAATTTCAAAGATATTACTGAGTTACAGTTCATATAAGGAAATCAGTCAATTAGGCCCTAATCTATGGATTTCACGACTAGAAATACAGATAGGCATCCGTTGGTCACAGATAACACTTTACATGTTGAGTTTATATTTTTGTTCAGTATAAGTACATACAGTGGGGTCTAAAATTGACACCCTTGATAAAGATGAGCAATAATGACTGTATAAAATAAATCATTTAAATATTGAGCTATATTGTATGCTCAAAAAAAAGGGGGAAATTATATTGTTCTATACTAATACAATTGCTCAGAGAAAGAGATTTTGTTTAACGAGTAATCTTTTTTTTATTTTTAAAGTAGGGGTCAAAGTTATTGGTAAAGTAGTCAAAAGTTTAGTATTTGATCCCATATTCCTAGCACGCAATGACTACATCAAACTTGTAACTCTACAAACTTGGATGCTTTTGCAGTTCATTTTGCTTGTGTTTCAGATTATTTTGTGCCCAATAGAAATCAATGGTAAACAAAGTATTGTGTCATTTTAGAGTCACTTTTATTGTAAATAAGAATAGAATGTCTCTAAACACTTCTACAGTAATGTGGAGGCTACCATGATTACAGATAATCCTGAATGAATCGTGAATAATGATGAGTGAGAAAGTTAGAGGGTCAAACATCATACCCCCAAGACATACTAACTTTAAGCATCAGTTGTCAGAGCACCTTACCGATCACTGCACCTGTACACAGCCCATCTGAAATTAGCCCAACCAACTACCTCATCCCTATATTGTTATTTATTTTGCTCATTTGCACCCCAGTATCTCTATTTGCACATAATCTCTTGCACATCTATCATTCCAGTGTTAATACTAATTGTAATTATTTTGCACTATAGCCTATTTATTGCCTTACCTCCTGACTTTATGTTTTGTTTTACCCCATATGTAACTCTGTGTTGTTGTTTTTAATCGCACTGCTTTGCTTTATCTTGGCCAGGTCGCAGTTGTAAATGAGAACTTGTTATCAACTGGCTTACCTGGTTAAATAAAGGTGAAATAAAATAAAAAATTACATAAAAACTCTCACCATTACCAACAACAGGAGAGGTTAGCATGTCTTGGGGGTATGATCTTTACATTTACACATTTTAGTCATTTAGCAGACGCTCTTATCCAGAGCGACTTACTGTTAGTGAGTGCATACATTTTCATACTGGCCCTCCGTGGGAAACGAACCCACAACCCTGGCGTTGCAAGCGCCATGCTCTACCAACTGAGCTACACGGGACTATATCTTTGACCCTCAGTAACTTTCTAACTCATCATTATTCATGATTCATTGAGGATTATCAGTCAATTGTTAAACAAAATCTATTTGAGCAATTGTATTATTATAAAATATAATTTGCCCCAAAATGTTTTGCATACAATATAGCTCAGTATTTGAATTCTTTATTTATAAAGTCATTATTGCGACGATAATATCATATTTTATGGTTATGCTAATTAGTAGTTTATACTGTGAGCTAGCAACTGTGAGCTTGCTAGCTCCGTTTTCAGTGTGATATCATTTCGGACATTTAGCCTTGTATTTGTATAGGATCATGTCCCCCTAGTGCTTCGTTTACAAGCCCTGTAATTAAACTGAACAAAATTATAAACGTAACATGCAACAAATTCTAAGATTTTACTGAGTTGCAGTTCATATAAGGAAATCAGTAAATTGAAAGAAATTCATCAGGCCCTAATCTATGGATTTCACATGGCTGGGGATACAGTTATGCATCTGTTGGTCACAGATACCTTCAAAAAGAAAAGTAGGGGCATGGATCAGAAAAGCAGTCAGTATCTGGTGTGACCACCAGCGCGACTTCTCCTTCGCATAGAGTTGATCAGGCTGTTGATTGTGGCCTGTGGAATGTTGTCCCACTCCTCTTCAATGGCTGTGTGAAGTTGCTGGATATTGGCGGGAACTGGAACACGCTGTTGTACACGTCAATCCCAAAGTATCCCAAACATGCTCAATGGGTGACATGTCTGGTGAGTATGCAGGCCATGGAAGAAGTGGGACATTTTCAGCTTCCAGGATCCTTGCGACAATGGGCCTCTGTGCATTCAAATTGCCATCAATAAAATGTAGCTGTGTTCGTTGTCCGTAGCTTATACCTTTCCCATTCCATAACCCCACCGCCACCATGTGGCACTCTCTTCACAACGTTGACATCAGCAAACCGCTCGCCCACACGACATCATACACGCTACGCTGTCTGCCATCTGCTCGGTACAGTTGAAACAGGGATTAATCCGTGGAGAGCACACTTCTTCAGCGTGCTAGTGACCATCGAAGATAAGAATTTGCCCACTGAAGTAGGTTACGATGCCAAACTGCAGTCAGATCAAGACCCTGGTGAGGATGAGGAGCACGCAGATGAGCTTCCCTGAGAAGGTTTCTGACAGTTTTTGCAGAAATTATTTGGTTGTGTAAACTCAGATTCATCAGCTGTCCGGGTGGCTGGTCTCAGACGAACCCGCAGGTGAAGAAGCCGGATGTGGAGGTCCTGGGCTGGCGTGGTTACACGTGGTCTGCGGTTGTGAGGCCGGTTGGATGTACTGTCAACTTCTCTAAAACGAAGTTGGAGGAAGCTTATGGTAGAGAAATGAACATTCAATTCTCTGGAAACAGCTTTGGTGGACATTCCTGCAGTCATAATGCCAATTGCACACTCCCTCAAAACTTCAGCCATCTGTGGCACTGTGTTATGTGACAAAACTGCACATTTTAGAGTGGCCTTTTATTGTCCCCGGCACAAGGTGCACCTGTGTAATGATCATGTTGTTTAATCAGCTTCTTGATATGGCACACCTGTAAGGTGGATGGATTATCTCGGCAAAGGAGAAATGTTCACTAACAGGGATGTAAACAAATTTGTGCACAACATTTGAGAGAAATAAGCTTTTTGTGCGTATGGAACATTTCTGTGATCTTTTATTTCAGCTCATGAAACATGGGACCAACACTTTACATGTTGTGTTTATATTTTTGTTCAGTATATATAGATGTATGCTATATCGTTTATGTGGGTATTACATTGTATTTCACTGTTTAGAGGTTTTCAAGTTCATTGTGCCATTGTAGCCCTGTACTGAAGATGGCGGCACTATGCTTTGTAGTACACATGTGGCGGCACTCCCTTGATCTCTAATTAGTGGAGTCACATTGTATGGCGCTGTATTGTCTTGTATAGCATTAAGCTATGATAGCCATGTTATTATTACATGCATATTGTTTATGGTATAGTGAATTAGAGATTGTATTATGTATATATCTGTCATTCACCATTGTCTATTTATTTCTCTCTTTACTTGCAGACCACACACACACACTCTTGGTTATCACAATCTGTCAATGAAAGCCTTAAAAGTGCCCTAGCCCATGTACTACATACACTGTGCTGTTCTGTGCCTGTACTATGCATCTTCAGCGTCATTAAACCACCTCGACCGTAATCTCCTGTCTTGTCATCTGTGACCTTATCAGCACACAGGAGCGAACACAAAGTTAAACAAAACCTAAAGAATATACAGTTCACCAAGTCCTCATTTAAACTAACAGGAGCTCAAACAGGTACGTATAAGCAGTTGGCCCCTCCCAGGACCATATAATTACCCAATTGGCAATTACAACCAATAAACTGGTTCTACAATGTAAAAGGCAATTCCCACATCCATTGTTACATTGGTACATTCATCTTAAATCAGACTTAATGATTATTAGCCTAATGATATTTCATCACCATTCATATATGGAACAATCATTTTCTATTATTCAACGTAGTGACTCCAAAGCGTGGTACGCAGCCCACGTAGCCTATTTCTATGCGCACGGAGGCGTGCACACTCCTATTACGCAAAACCAGAATGACACAGACACACGGGTCTCTGACATAACCCAGGAAATATGAAGATGAAGGAAACCATACATTGAATTAAATAAACAGAACTTCTACATCATGAGTCTTGCGAACGTTCATGTGCATAATAAACATTGCGCCCACTCAGAGGGTACCAAATGGTCAATGAAAATGTATCGTAGCAAACATGAAACAGCAAATGGTACGGGGATGGAATGATGAAACGGTAGCAATTATTGTGGGATTACATGGAATATCGATTTTCCACATACGCATTTAAACTTGTGAAAGCAAAAGCAAACATTTCAACAAGAGAACAAAGCACTCTCCAATGGCGGGAGTTTGGAGAGCGCAAGTGGAGATGGTGCGTCTTCACCACAGTAGGCTAATAATTCATTTTAATAACTAATTACAAATGCAAGCTTCATACGTAATTTATCATTTCAAGAAATGTTGACATACCAAAAGACCAGTAGGCCTAAGACTATACTAGTAATTGTTGCTTGATGCCAAATTGCTAGTGAGCTTGCAATGTAAACAGTTAATATTCTTGATCACCCCAATTTTTCTGGGAGCTGCATATTTATTATGGCAATCCTCTATCCCTACAATTTGACATTTGCGCTGCATCCAATCCTATAGCTGTACAGCAAATCAGCAATCTGTTCGCTAGCTCACCCGACCTGTGTTGATTGACAGTTTGCTGCGTTTCACTAGCCAATCTGTGGCACGTTTTTTTGCAAGGGAGTTGTTGCGGCTACTGTCTCTGGCTGTGTGGAGAGTAATCCACGGAGACTTTGTGCCAGAAAATGAGTGATAAAACCCGGCCAGATAATTTCAAGTCATCAGTCTCAAGTCAAAGTCGAGTCCCGAGTCTTGAGGCTCCAAGCCCAAGTCAAGTTTCAAGTTATTTTATTTTCTATCAAGTCATCAAATTTGTGACTCAAGTCAAACTCGTCCAAGTCATGTGACTCGAGTCCACAACAACAACAGAAAACATACAACATATACACAAAACAACACTGATGCAGAGGTCTTCCAAAATAAAACATCTTAGATAAGGCAATATTGTAATTATATTCTACTCAACTCATTTTTTTTATTTTTTATGTTTAAACTTTCCTTCCCTCAAATCCCCAGGAGCCAGTCTGTTACCCCCAGGGACCGGTTCCCCAAGCACAGACCAAGACCAGCCCCAAATTCCTATTGTGTTCTATTTCTGAACATGTCTACGCAAGGAATGTGAAACACTTCCAACACACATTGACTTGTTCAAACTCCTTCAAAACTCATTATTATTGTTCGAAATCCTTTAGGCTTTCTAACTTCTTGGTCTATGGATGTTGCAGTGTGAACGACCTGACACTTATCATAACTTAACATAGGGCTGGGCGGTATACCGCATTTTACGATATACCTGTAATGATGCACGGACCGGTTTGGGTTTTTACTTTACTTTCTATAATGGTATTTGAATGTTTGTTTTGTTAAATGTAATACGCTGTATGTAACGTCCATTTTTATAGTTTACTTCGCTATGAGTCATCTCTCTCGCTCTCTATGCAGCTTTCCACATACATTTACATTTTAGTCATTTAGCAGACGCTCTTATCCAGAGCGACTTATAGGAGCATTTAGGGTTAAGTGCCTTGCTTAAGGGCACATCGACAGATTTTTCACCTAGTCGGCCCGGGGATTAGAACCAGCGACCTTTCGGTTACTGGCACAACGCTCTTACCCACTAAGCTACCTGCCGCCCTAGTGACATAGCCCCGCCCTGTCACTCAAGCAGCACATGTAACAATGTTGATGACAACAATGCTGTTTTCACTTAGTTTCTTAATATAAATCCACTAGCGTTCTATAATTACACTATTCGTTTGTGTTTCTTACGTCTGCAAATAGCTAGTTTGTCTGTTCTTAGCAAGTTGGGCCTAAATCTGGTTAGCCGCTAATTGTTATCCTCTAATGCTAATCGATAGCTAATAAATGTACTGAGTCGGAGCGAACATAATTAGCTATATAGCCTGATAATACCAGTGATGGTGTACACCTAAATCAGCATGTTGTTTGTGCAACAGTATCTTCTAAATCAAAGAGGAATATGCGAAGCAAGAATATGTTAGCTACATAAAGAAGCTAAAACAAAACATTAAATGTAGCCAAAGATTATGGGGTCCTCTAGGAAACACTTATCAACTCTTTGGTTCCTACCCAGTCACAATAACATCTCCCTGGCATTTTCATTAGTTGTCATGTCAAACAACACTCTATTCAAAGTGCCCACTTTTATATTCTAACTACAGAATTAGAATAACCATTCTATTCCCATGATTCCAACAGTTCACCCCAGTGGTTTGCTCTAAATAGCAAGTCAAATCGCAATTGTAACATTTGGTTAAAAATAAGACCTAGAATGTTTGCCCATATCGTGCAGCCTTATGTGGCAGTGTGGAAATGATCTCAAATCAGTGCAGGAAATGCAGAAATTAATGAACTTAGAATGTATGTGTTACCACCCTAGGGTCACGCACTACTATTAAAGCAAATTTTGAACTTTTATTATTCAAAAACATAAAATACCGTCATATCTTTTGAAAATACCATGATATGATTTTTAGGCCATTACGCCCAGCCCTAACGTAACATCATCCCACCTTGGTGATAGAGTGCGTTGAGGAAGCCCAGACGGTCGTTGCCCTGGAACAGGGCCTTCTCTATCTCCATCTCTCTGCGGGACAGGGGTAGGCTGGCTGAGAAGCGCTGTGGGCGAGAAATGAGCTCTGACCTGGCATCAATCTTGTCCTGGATCACCAGAAGACGCTGCTGCCGCGCCCCGGGGGCCACACACACTCCATGACCCTGTAGGGCAGAACACACAACCTAGGCCCTGAACCAGACACACACGGGCGCACGCACCCACCATAACTGCCTGTTTGACCATGTTGCTTGGAGTAATGAGATTTTATCTCAATGAGACTAACCACTATAAATAAAGGTTGAATAATAATAATTGAATCCTTTTCTCAGTGAGTATTGAAGTAAATAGAGTTGAGGTAAGTTCTTCCCTCATCTCTTACAGTTTGGATGGATGCCTGGATGGAGACCATTGGTAGGTCAAACAATCAGTATCTATATCAGGCTACACCACCAGGAGTTTTTTGTGTCTGAAAAAACACTCACAGTGGGTCAATCAGTCAATATCACTTTTCAAACATTGTTTCTTCTTCTTTTGTTTACATACAAACTCTGTATTCCTTCTCAGGAGGTGTAATTGAAAACCACAACCACACCATACATATAACATATTGTCATTATATCCAGCATTACCAGTCGGCAAAACTATTTAGAATGAAATTATTACAATCTGGTTGTACTGACGTCATTTCAACCAGTTTTGCACACTGTCTGGAAAGCAACAATCACCTTCTCTTCGATATTATTACCTACTTTCCCTAACAGGATGTAGGATGTGGGTGTCTAATAACTGTATCGTCCCTTGTTGTAAAGTGCATAAATTATATAAATAAATAACATTCACCTTCACAGTGTTCTCTGGCTGGTCTCTGTTGAGCCACAGTTCTACCTCCAGGTCTGTGAGCCCCAGCTCCCTGAGACTGGCCAGCTCAGTCTCCCCGTCCTGTAGAGCCTTGAACTGGGGTAGACTCCTCACCCCGGCAGCCTGCTCCCCAAACGGCTTGTACAGCGCAGCAGGGGCAAAACACTTCCTCTTTGCAACACATCTGAGACAACACATGAGAGATCTCTACGTCTATGTCGTCACTCTGAATGTGGTCTGAATGAGAGGTCTGAGTCTGTCTCTAAGTAGATAATAATATTTAATATCGGGAGTAGCAATTCTTAATAATTTAGTTCTCATGCCTTGATCATTTCAGGGTTAGCATGCAATAATGTAACATAAATAAAGTGTAGGCCTATTATTTTTGCTTGATTGCATACAACTCCCATAAGCCCGCTGAGGTTGTGAAATATGAACACAAGACTCACATGCTTTTGAAAATATAGATTTCTATTATTTTCTATTGGTAGGCTATCATGATGAAGATACTCCCAATTTAACACCCGTTGCCTGCTCCCTAACAAAGCGAAGTGAGGGTATAGGAAGAAATATTAAACGTGGATCACAAAAGTGACTTTTTCAAATCTTTGCAGAGGTTCATCCAGATCAGATGTTTTATTTGTTTACTTGATCGGAAAGATACAACGGTTTTTAAAGCACATACAGTCACCTTTGGCTCTGTTTCAAAATATCACTTTTTGTTATACAACAGCGGTTCCACACGTTCCCGTGAGACACTGAAGTTGTGTGGCAAAAATATGATTTCTATTTTATTCTGTTAAATTCCATTGTATATTCTTTCTATAAAACATATGTTTGTTGACTGTGATTAGGGCAGGGGAATGTAAGATTGTCTTGTCTGTTTAATTAACAAAATAACAAACTTGATTTCATTTCATAGGCTGCGCAGACAAGTAACATAAACTCAAAATATGCTATTCTTTTGAAAATACATTTTATTGGTCTTATGTTTTCTAAGGGCCTGCCTCAACAAATTAATAATAGATTTGTGATGGTTTATATTCAATGAATTTATTAAAATAAATGCCTACCCACATCTTCACAACTCTACTCCTGTGCACTCGTCACCGGTGCCGGCATGTGCACGGGAGGTATAAAAGGCTTATACCGGCAAAAAGGTGGTCAAAATGGGATGGTTTGAAAGGGGGTCATATAAACATTGCCCCATTTGCTTTTACATGCAACATACTGTAAATCCTATGTGAAAAGTGTACTGTCAGTCCTGACCTAGGGTGTACTAAGAATATGGAAATAGCGTGGCTATTGTAACGCTGTAGAACAAAAGAAACAGTGTGATGAGGTGAGTTTCCCCCTTACTATGTAAAGCGCTTTCAGCTTTCAGTTGGTAGAAAAGCTCTATAAATCCAATCTATCATTATTATAATTTAGTAGAAGTGTAGGCTATTGTATTTGAACTGTGTGGTTAATGCTATTGTAATTCTGTGTGTGTGTGTGTAGGGAGGCTCACCTGTCTATGTTGACGTCCGTGTCTAGCTGCTGTAGGAGGAGACTGTGGAGCTGTCTCTGTCCCTCTGTCTCCTGTTCCTCCAAAACTGGGCCGTCCTCACACACATGACGGGTCATTCTGTAACACACACACACACACACACACAGGGTCAAAAAGTATGCACGTTGGTCTCATACACATCTTACTCTAAACATTTTAATTAAAGCATATATACAACTGTTGTTAGCAACCAATTATTAGGCAAACCCGTTTTTGGTTCATTCAGCAGTTCTTACCTGATTAAGTACAATAACATTGGAAATTAATGTTGAAAGTTCCATTTATATTCCTAAAAATGATGCTGTCACTGCTTCCTGTTGACAAGATATTTTGATAAATAGCCCAATGTCAAAACTGTTTTAATGTGCCCAAATCAATAACAAATATGCAGAAACATGTTTGTGATATATTGAAAACCTTAAGATAAAATGTACCATCTACACATACAGTTCCTTCAGAAAGTATTCACACCCCTTGACTTTTTCCACATTTTGTTGTGTTACAGCCTGAATTTAAAATTGATTAAATTGAGATTGCGTCACTGGCCTACACACAATACCCCATAATGTCAAAGTGGAATTATGTGTTTAGAAATGTTTGCAAATTAATTAAAAATGTAAAGCTGAAATGTCTTGAGTCAATAAGTTTAACCCCTTTGTTATGGCAAGCCTAAATACGTTCAGGAGTAGAAATGTGCAGAACAAGTCACATAATAAGTTGCATGGACTCACTCTGTGTGAAATAATAGTGTTTTACATTATTTTTGAATGACTAACTAATCTCTGTACCCCATACACACAATTATCTGTAAGGTCCCTCAGTTGAGCAGTGAATTTCAAACACAGATTCAACCACAAACACCAGGGAGGTTTTCCAATGCCTCGCAAAGAAGGGCATCTACTGGTAGATGGGTAAAAAAAAAGCAGACATTCAATATCCCTTTGAGCATGGTGAAGTTATTAATTACACTTTGGATGGTGAAACAATAGTCAGTACAAAGATACAGGTGTCCTTCCTAATTCAGTTGCCGAAGAGGAAGAAAACCGCTCAGAGATTTCACCATGAGGCCAATGGTGACTTCAATGACAGAGTGAAAAGATGGATGCCTGTACAGAATAACAAATATTTCTAAACATGCATCCTGTTTGCAATAAGGCACTAAAGTAACACTGCAAAAAATGTGGCAAAGAAATTAACTTTATGTTTGGGGCAAATCCAACACAACACATCACTGAGTACCACTCTTCATATTTTCAAGCATGGTGGTGGCTGCATCATGTTATGGGTATGCTTGTCATCGGCATAAAAAAAAAATTGAATAGAGCTAAGCACAGGCAAAATCATAGAGGAAAACCTGGTTCAGTCTGCTTTCCAACAGACACTGGGAGACAAATTCACCATTCAGCAGGACAATAACCTAAAACATAAGGCCAAATATACACTGGAGTTGCTTACCAAGAAGACATTGAATGTTCCGGAGTGGCCTATTTACAGTTTTTACTTAAATCGGCTTGAAGTTCTATGGCAAGATTTGAAAATGGCTGTTTAGCAATGATCAACAACCAACTTGACAAAGCTTGAAGTATTTTGAAAATAATAATGTGCAAATATTGTGCAATCCAGGTGTGCAAAGCTCTTAGAGACTTACCCAGAAAGACACACAGCTGTAATCGCTGCCAAAGGTGATTCTAACATGTATTGTGAATACTTAAGTAAATTAGATTTCTCCATTTCATTTTCAATAAATTTGCTAAAATAAAAAATAAAAAACATGTTTTCACTGTCATTACGGGGTAATTCTGTGTAGATGGGTGATAAAAATATATATCTTTAATCCATTTTGAATTCAAGCACAAGAACATTTGGAATAATAGTTTCTGAAGGCACCTTACATGTTCAACAAATAGGCCTAATCATATTAGGGGAGAGCGGGTTAAGTTGAGCCATTTTTTTACATTCAGCATCACTACGTCAAGGGAAATATAGTATTATTTCTAACAATGATATCTACATGTGTTTCAGGATGTTGTGCATCAGAATTCATGTAAACAAAACAGTAAAAAAAAAAAAAAAAAAAAGTGGTCGCTTGGCACAACTTAACCCGGGTATGGGGTAAATTGAGCATAGGGACAGGGTAAGCTGAGTCACCTTGGGGTAAGTGGGTGATGGTGCCCTGTGACAGTGGGTGATCGTGCTGGTAGGTCGAAGTTTAATGAATGGGTTGGGGTTGTGTATGCCTACATTCAGATATAGATCTCTCTGTTCAATACCACTTACCCTTCCATTTAACTCTACCCACATGTACATATTACCTCAACTAGCCGGTGCCCCCGCACATTGACTCTGCACCGGTACCCCCCTGTATATAGCCTACCTACTGTTCTTTTATTTTAATTCTGCTCTTTTTTTCTCAACACTTTTTTGTTGTTGTTGTTTTATTTTACTTTTTTATTAAAAAATAAATGCATTGTTGGTTAAGGGCTGTAAGTAAGCATTTCACGGTAATGTCTACACCTGTTGTATTCGGCGCATGTGGCAAATAAAATTTGATTTGATTTCTTGACCAGTTGTCTGGGACAGGGAAGTTGTTTCGATGTGGCAGTTTGCCATTGGCTCAACTTACATTTACATTTTAGTCATTTAGCAGACGCTCTTATCCAGAGCGACATACAGTTAGTGAGTGCATACATTTTCATACTGGCCCCCCGTGGGAAACGAACCCACAACCCTGGCGTTGCAAGCGCCATGCTCTACCAACTGAGCTACAGGGGACTATACTTACCCCAAGGCAAACATTTTGACTATATTAGCCCACACAGCTACAAGGAAGCACTTTCATGCTAGGTTTAGGACCTCATATTGTAGCATATTACACCCTAGCTGATGTAAAAAAAAAAATCTAAAAACAATGTACTTTGGTTTAGATACAAGCATCATGAAACCTATAACACAAATTAATCTGACTTTGTTCAAATACATTTTTGGGACCTAACTTGCTTACCACTTTTCCCATGTGGTTTCTTCCTTCACACAGACTCCATAAAATGACGACCTCTTCCTAAATATTTGGTAAAATTATTAATTGGGTGTATGGTTTCCTAGAAACAAGGGTGGCTCAACTAACCCTTTGGCTGAATTTACCACACTCTCCCCTACACACACATATACACATATATATATATATATATATATATACACACACACACAGTACCATTCAAAAGTGGACACACCTACTAAAGAGTGTGCAAAGCTGTCATCAAGGCAAAGGATGGCTACTTTGAAGAATCTCAAATATAAAATACATTTTTATTTGTTTAACACTTTTTTTTGTTAATACATGATTCTATTTGTGTTATTTCATTGTTTTGATGTCTTCACTATTATTCTACAATGTAGAAAATAGTAAAAAATAAAGAAAAACCCTTGGTGTGTCCAAACTTTTGACTGGTACTCTATATATGGGGGTGCCACAGGATTCAATTCTTGGGCCGACTCTTTTCTCCGTGTATATCAATGTCGCTCTTGCTGCTGGTGACTCTCAGATCCACCTCTACGCAGACGACACCATTTTGTATACATCTGGCCCTTCATTGGACACTGTTAACAAACCTCCAAACGAGCTTCAATGCCATACAACACTCCTTCAGTAGCCTCCAACTGCTCTTAAACACTAGTAAAACTAAATGCATGCTCTTCAATCGAACGCTGCTGGCACCCGCCCACCCGACTAGAATCACTACTCTCGACGGGTCTGACCTAGAGTATGTGGACAACTACAAATACCTAGGTGTCTGGTTAGACTGTAAACTCTCCTTTCAAACTCACATTAAGAATCTCCAATCCAAAGTTAAATCCAGAAACGGCTTCCTATTTCGCAACAAAGCCTCCTTCACTCATGCTGCCAAACATGTCCTCGTAAAACTGACTATCCTACCGATCCTTGACTTCGGTGATGTCATTTACAAAATAGCCTCCAACACTCTACTCAGCAAATTGGATGTAGTCTATCACAGTGCCATCCGTTTAGTCTCCAAAGCCCCATACACTACCCACCACTGTGACCTGTACGCTCTTGTTGGCTGGTCCTCATTACATGTTCGTCGTCAAACCCACTGGCTCCAGGCCATCTATAAATCACTGCTAGGCAAATCCCAGCCTTATCTTAGCTCATTGGTCACCATAGCAACACCCACCCATAGTATGCGCTCCAGCAGGTATATCTCACTGGTCATCCCCAAAGCCAACACCTCCTTTGGCCGCCATTCCTTCCAGTTCTCTGCTGCCAATGACTGGAACAAATTGCAAAAATCTCTGAAGCTGGAGACTCTTATCTCCCTCAATAACTTTAAGTATCAGTTGTCAGAGCACTTTACCGATCACTGCACCTGTACACAGCCCATCTGAAATTAGCCCACCCAACTACCTCATCCCTATATTGTTATTTATTTTGCTCATTTGCACCCCAGTATCTCTATTTGCACATAATCTCTTGCACATCTATCATTCCAGTGTTAATACTAATTGTAATTATTTTGCACTATAGCCTATTTATTGCCTTACCTCCATAACTTGCTGCATTTGCACACACTGTATATATATTTTCTGTTGTATTTTTTGACTTTATGTTTTGTTGTACCCCATATGTAACTCTGTGTTGTTGTTTTTAATCGCACTGCTTTGCTTTATCTTGGCCAGGTCGCAGTTGTAAATAAGAACTTGTTCTCAACTGGCTTACCTGGTTAAATAAAGGTGAAATACAAATTTACCATCTTAAAAACTGTACATGCACCACCCTGTTGTTTTGACAAGTGGCAACAAATCACTCATATCGATTTGGGGGTAAAGTATTTTGTAAGCTCTGTTGAAACTACCACAACTCAAAACCGCATGGAAACTGGATGTTTTTTGTTTTTTACATCACTGGTTAGAGGACAACCTGCAGAAAAGAGTCAGCTACATTTTTGGAATGTTGCATTTTTAAACGGGGGTCACCAACAGAACGAGAAACGCAACACTGTTTTGTCAATTACACATATCGATTATCACGCTGAAATCAATAGCGCGAGAGGGGGGTTAG